ACAGAGTCCACTTGATGGTAGGCAAGTACTGTGGTCCATGGACACCTACATCCATTCAAGTACCAACAAATTTATAAGTCTACTTCATTACAATACAAGATAACATATTATGGAAACTTTAAAGCTCATGACTAGACCGATTATTCTGTCAAATAGAAAATACTATCATGTAGTTAAATAATTTAGTATAAGGTAAATGATCATAGAGTTCAGCAATACGCGGTAGAGCCAAGGTTGTTCCATGAAGGACCACGTGCTCACAGAAAGAATACCAGCGTAAAATAGTACGAGTAGCATAATGCTGCTGTGTTTAGTATGATGAGTGTAGAGAATTTGAGACGCTTTTTACTGAAAACGAGGCATTCCATCTTAGCATTCATGAGTGATAATGTCTCTACATTTTGATTTTAATTGAGGATAGATGAACATGTCTATGTGCCACAACTTACCGTCAAATGGACTGTAAGCTCGTTTGTAACATCACCCTTATTCGTTAAAAAATTAATAAACAGAAATATCAAATGGTCTTAGACTAGAGAAATACTTGAAATGAAATGGCAAGTTAAAGGGAATTGGAATAGTAAGCTAGCCGATTCATATTTGACATATTTATTTACCTACGGTTGGTCACGGCGCGTAAGAGAAACTACGTGTGTCACAGTAGCGAGAAATTTGGTACTACAACCACCAATCGGGCTGCCAAGCGTGTCGTGTGTTGATTATGATGTTGAATACTTAAATAATTCTATTGTTGAGGACTCAAATAACTATATTCTTACTAATTCTAAAATCACATGCAGAGAAATTTATATTACTTTATTGTCGAGGTAATTTTACGAGAACATTGATTCTCTACGTTAAGTTACCTTGTGCTTGACCTAGAAACAAATATGTGGATGCGTCCGAATCAAGTCGCATGCAAATTATTGAATCTTTATGCAAAATCTTTATTTATATAATATATGGCGTCACCTTTACTTAGCCACGCGTTACTGTGGTACAGAAAGTTTTTTAATAAAGTATAATTACAATAATACGCGTCATGTCAAAATTTCAAAGGAATCGCTGAAAAACTTTCGTAGACTTATGATATTAAATAAACGGCCGTTTACATTTGTAGGGTTCCGTACCCAAACGGTAACCAACGGGACCCTATTACTAAGCCTCTACTGTCCGTCCGTCCGTCTGTCTGTCAGGGGGCTGTATCTCATGATCCGTAATAGTTAGACAGTTGAAATTTTCACAAAATATGTATTTATGTTGGGCAACTATATAATAAAAAAAAAGTTAAAAGCTGCTCCCCTACTAGAAACGTGTATTACGATGGTACGGAACCACTCATGCGCGAATCCAACTCGCACTTGGACGGTTATTATTTATATATATATATATAAATTTGCTTTAAAGTTTGACTAGTAGTTTTTGAGTTATCCTTAATAATTTTATATTAAAGTCGGTTGTACAAATTTTTTTTAATTTTACCACTTGTTTAAAGTGAGGTTAGGTATCGCTGATTACTGAGATGAAATGTCACAGAACCTGTAATTATACACTTAAAACCGCAAAGGGTGGACAGCTGCTTGATGGCAGAAATAGGTAAGAAAGCGACACAAACACAGATGGACTAATGTGAGTGCATATTATTGAGATTGTAGAACCGGAGACCCTTATTACCGCTAACAACGCAGTCTTCAAACGTGGTAGAGCCATGCTGCAGCTATATTAGTAGTATAGTTGTAGCACGAATGGGTCTGATCGACCGGGGAAGGACCATGCTCTCACAGAAAACCAGCGTAAAATAGCAGCTCAACGCTGCTGTGTTTCGTATGGTGACTGTAGAGAACCGTATACCCTTTTTACTGGAAAAGAGGCATTCCATCTTAGTCCTCACGGGTGACAACGCATCTGCATTTTGTTTCGCAAACGAGGATACATGTAGATGTCTATGGGCCACAGCAAACTCTTACCGTCAGGTGGACTGTGTGCTCGTTTGTCATCCTATCGTATATAAAAAAAAGTCTATTTTAGTTTGCAGTAATGATCACCTATCTAGATTTTGATTCTTAAACGTTAGATGTGTCCATTTAGCATCAGGTGGACACGTTTGTCACCCTTATACTATATAAATAAAAAAATAAAATAATAAGTAATTCTATTGGTGCAAGCATTCAAAATTTAAATGTATATATAAATTTGTAAGGTATGGTTTTATTGTTAAACACGACGTCATTTAAAACATTCGGGGCGAATAGTGTGTGTACAACTTTTGTATTTTTGCTTTCAAAGTTCCAGCAAGTCGCAAAATTTTGTTTCTTTTGATATCTGTTAATTGAAACGTTAGGTTTATGTAGTTTATTACAAATACAAAATCTTTGAGTTTTGACTTCGTTCACACTTGTGTTTTAATCTCTCCGTTAAGAACGACTGTCTTGGCCTTTAATCTAGACTGGCTCATAGTAATTTAAGATCGAAATAGTAAGGAAAACTGTTCTAGAAATATTTTTTTCAATTAAAATGTATATATGATATTTAGTAAAGCTATATGGCAGACGTAGATTGTTTGTTAATTTACTAAAAAAATTTATTTTACGTGAGATGGTTTCCAATTAACACGCATTTATAATTTAGTATCTTTTTATGAAACAACGAACTAACAGTCACCGGTCGGCTATGCGGTTATAACTTGCAGAAGTATTCCAACCAGTTTCTTTTATCAATTTAATATTTAATCTGTCATAGTGAGTTTTGACGGCTCCGTGGCGCAGTGGCTTAGCAATGAGTTGCTGCGCTGGGGGGCGCGGGTTCGAATCCCGCACGGAACAAGTATTTGTATGGCCTACAAATGATTGTTCTGGGTCTGCATGTTTGTCCTTGTGAAATTTGTGTTTGTAAACTGCCTCCACGATACAGAAGAAAATCCTAGTGTGGGGGTAACGTTTTTTAAGAAAAAAAAAGTTTTAGACATATTTTGAATTCGTTTTTTTATAAAACTCTAGTGACAAACTGCTCTACAGTCCCCCTGATGCTAAGAGACTGCTACAGTCATGGACACCTGCAGCCATTTCGACAAAAAAGGCTACAGATGCTTTGTCACCTCTGAGGACTTAGATGGAAGGAATCACAGTCTGTAATTACACTGGCTCTCTGTACACTTAAAACCGGAACTCAGCAGGTGCAAGTATTGCTATTTGGCAGCAGAACTAATAGGTATGGGGAAAAAGTTTCTTCGTATTTTTTTTTTGTATAAAATTGAAGAAAAATATCTTATTAATATCTGATTATACTGTTTGTATCTGGCTGGTTTAAATATCAATACATATAGGACACTAAAGCCCGTATTAATAAACGTTATTCTGCTCAAGTACACGCACTTGAGTACAATCTTGAGGTTATGATCTTATTAATAAACATATCTCAAGATGCGGTTTAGGTTTACGATATCAGCTGAGTGCCACACTGATTAGTAAACGGAACTTGGCTCTCAAGTGAGTGTACTTGAGTGCAAGTCATAGAATAGTATATCTAAGTACAGCGTTTTGAAATACTGTTTTTATGTGTTTATTAATTAGCAACGATCTTGAGATGCTGATATCGTAATGAGGGCGTATCAAATGATTACGCACTTGAGTTCGTCGTTGAGTAACGTTTATTAATACGGGCCTAAGAAAAATAAAAAGTAAAAAACACTTTCCCGCCATTTTTCAATTGTTTTTCTGTCCGACAAAATGAGTGATCTAACGAAGAAATTCGATATATTCCAAAGTTTTATTACAAAAAAAGGGAAAAATGCGACTCAAACCGTGAAAAAAATTTGTGACGTTGATGTATCTAATGTAGTGTCAGTAAGAGTGACATAAAGTGGTTCAAGCGACTAGATAGAATGCCTCACAACCTGTAAATATATTCGCTCTCTATAACCTTGAGACCGGTACACAGCATTGTAGGCGGCATTGCCATTTGGCGGCAAGAATACAACAGTGACTTATATAAACTAACTCCTCAATAATGTTTATCAATGTTTATTACTTGTTACTTTAATATAAAATAAAATTATCAGCTCCCGTGCGGCGAGATGTACGAGTATAATTAAATATTGACTATCTTTACATATCATATACGTGGTAGAGTCATGCCGCAGCTATATTTATAGTAGTAGAAAGGGCCGGCTCGTCCGGGGAAAGGCCACGCTCTCACAGAATACCAGCGTAAAATAGCAGTTTAATGCTGCTGTGTTTCTTATGGTGTAGAGAACCGGTGACTCTTTTCACTGGAAACGAGGCATTCCATCTTAGTCCTCAAGGATAGATGTGGATGTCTATGGGCCACAGCATTCACATACTATTAGGTAAACTGTATGCTCGTTTATTTATTTGTTTATTTATTTAGATAGATACACCATCGACATATCAATATGCATTAATAATTGCAATACAATTTTTTAAGTCTTTACAGGTGCATAGGTTATTATAAGAAAAAAACTAAACCACATAGATATACCTAAACTCTAAAACAAACAGAAATCAAACTAATTAAAGTAAACGCACCGCATCCAGTAATAAATTACCATAAATAATAGTTTAGAATCATTAATCGGGCAAGGTAGGTAATAGTAAGTCTTTACATTTTCTTTTAGATAGATGATGCATTTATTGGTTTCTCCAATCACACACGTAAATTCAGTGACTAAACTAAGTACAAAGTAACGTATTACGACAAAAATAATAATTTACAAAAACTTAAAATTTAAATGTACATGAATGTTGTGCAGTTTGACAAATGGGTCCTATCTCAGCGATTAATATTGCTCAGAGAGCAAACATTGATTTTCAGCTATTAAGAAAGAAAGAAAATATGCATATTTGAATGATGTGTCCTTTCAGCCCTACGACTTACATCTTGGGTACAAATATATGTTCGGGGTCGCTAAAGATGTCGATGTCATGATTGTTTAGTTCGCATACATCTGTTTGACACCCTAATTCTATTTAAAAAAAACTTACCGAGATTAGCTCTTCATAATGCACTCCATGCGGCTGGGACTCGTTCGTCAGCGCCCGCCACATCTTCAGACCATCTTTTTTAATTAGGCTATCTTGTTTATTAAGAACTAACTTCAATTGTCGTCCGAACGCTTCTAACTCTATTTTGTGAACATCTTCTTCCTGATCAGCAACTTCGTGTTCATTGTCACGTAACCTATCACTTTCACTCGAATCACTGTCACTTACTTCACTGGAATTCGACACACTAAACTGTACGCTCACTGTATTATTCAAATCCCCGATTATATCTTTTATGTATTCTTTCGCTTTGACGAACATTTCGTCGTTTATGAGAGAAGGTGGGTTGGTTTGCGACTTCCACGGTTTTGACTTCTCGTGTGGCACTTTGTTTAGGTTGGCGGTGTGACTGTTGGCGGTGTGACTGTTGGCTTGGTGACTGCTGGGGACGTGCCGCCTAGCTAGATGGTGTGTGAGTTGAACCAAATGATAATCTGGGACGTGGCTGAGATGTTCAACGTGAAATACGTTCCGAAGCTCATCAGTGGTCATGTGCTCGTGTATCTGTAACAAGAGATAAATAGTTAAAAAAATATTTTAAAGACATTTTTTTAATTAACATCACTTATCGTAGTCCATCACTACAAAGTTAAAATGCTTGTGTTAGAAGTGATTCAATGGAAGATTCAAAACCAACACTTTCTTATTTTACAGCTTGCACCCTTAATGCCTATTCCGGACATTGATGCTCATTATTTGGTGGTACATATGTATATTAATTTGATTTTTTTAAATGCCACAAGCCCATCTTATAGTGTTTTAAGTGTTAAAATTATTAGTACTTATACTTATTACTATTATAAAAACAAAGTAATATCTATTTAGTCTTTATTTAGTGACCTAAGACCCAGTGAAGCCCACCATTCTTCTACGACGAAATTTAGTTCCTTTCTCCGAGTTTTCTGACTTCAATATTCAGCTTTGACAGAAAGCTTTGACTGCAAAAAAATTCACTAGCCAGGAAGCAGAGTTAAAAGTGTGAGACATCTGGCTGCGATCGTAAATTTAGGTAAATCCAGGGAGGACAGCTGGAAAGGACTGTGTTCAACAGTGGACTTTTATCGGCTTATGAAGAAGAAAAATATAGCTTTTTATAATATTCAATTCTGTATTTTGTTATTGCACAATGATTCATAGAGCCGCAGTAGCTAAGGGGGTACGCTCTCGCTGTAAATTTCACAGTACACGTTACACAGTTTTTTTTTATAGGATAAGGGTGACAAACGAGCACACAGTCCACCTGATGGTAAGTGGTTGCTGTGGCCCACAGACATCTACATTTATCTTCGATTGCAAATCAAAATGCAGATGCGTTGTCATCCGTAAGGACTAAGATGGAATGCCTAGTTTTCAGTAAAAAGGGTCTTCAGTTCTCTACACTTACTATATGAAACACAGGAGCGTTAAGCTGCTATTTTACGCTGGTATTCTGTGAGAGCGTGGTCCTTCCCTGGTCGAGCCGACCCATTCGTGCTACAACTATAATATAGCTGCAGCATGACTACCACGTATAGAAAGAAGATGAAATGTATGGGTTGGATCCCCGCCCACTGAAATTGTTTAATTTTAAGTGCCGATTTACCACATGCTCGGCGGTGAAGGAAAACATCGTGAGGACACCTGCATGTCTAAGATATAAAAAAATTTTTTCGAAGACATGTGAAATTCGCCAACACGCATTGGGGCAGCGCGGCGGACATTTCCTTGCTCTAAACCCTCTCAGAAATGAGAGGAGGCCTGTGTCCAGCTGTGCTACGTATATACGCTGTAACTTTTAACAATTCATATATTTAAGTAAAATATTTTAAAGTAATATATTATAATCAATATTCTTTACATTTTTTACTTCCTTAATATTCGGCTCTAGACACCAAAGCGAGTAGTTACTGACCAGTTAAGCCACACATCCGTATGTGTTTTGTTTTATTTTCATTCGACTATCAGCAGTAAAGACTTGAAAACCTTGGTCGCGGTCGATACCGTTTAAAACGTGCCTTTCTCAACAGATGTCTAGATTTACGCGATAAGCTATGTCCTCTGGTTACACATATAATATAGCTAGATAAAATATATTATACCGATATTAATTTCAATAACATACTTTTTCCTCGACTTATTACGTTGGAGATTTTTATATTTTTATTTTTATAGAAGGTTGGCAAACATACGGCTCACCTGATGTTAAGTGACTACCGCCGCCCATGAACAACTGCAACACCAGGGGAATTGCAAGTGCATTGCCGGCCTTTTAGAAAGGAGTAAACTCTCGATAAATGTGGGTAACCGTATTGTTTTCATTTGTAGCGGCACTTATTTACGCTTTACGGATATGTAAGCGAAGAATAAATATAATATTAAAACATTTTAATAAAACGGCTTACATACTAATTAACATTTTAAATATTTAAAGTTTTGTTTTTTGCTTGGAAATAACCCAGGGAAACAATTGAAAGAAACTGTAATAAAATTATATTATAAATATAATAATACCACATATGATTTACAAAAGGGCGGTCAACACTCACGTCAATCATTGTAATATTTTTACGAACTGTCAAAACGAAACTTCCGTATGCAAACGTCTGATTGATGGTAGACATCTCTTGAGTACTAAGATGAAATGTCTCATACCAATAAACGCAAATAAAACGTGGAAGCTTCATATCTGCAGAAAATAACCCAACGTAAATTGAGCTGCGGTAGGCGTGGCTTACCAAACTGCGAACAAGTTTAGTTCGAATACCGTTATTATCATAATACTATCATTTATAATTTGCATTACACGTTATTACATAAAACGCCACAGGCGACGAGTGATGATCACAATGGCTTTATATAATAAGTAGACATAAATGACGTAAATAAGGTCAACATTTGACTGTGCGTTCAGAGGTGTAACAAAATGTTATTAATGAATGGGTAGCTGATCAGCGATAGAATTTTATGTATAAGTTTGCTTGAAATATTGTACCATATTGATGACATAACTTGAATACTCTAAAATCACATACGCTTTGTACACAGTACACACACTCCTTAATATAACTTTAACTTAAACATCTCGTTAGGTTATTTTAACTACTGTTGTTATGAATTTCAATATAAGAACACGAGATTTTATTTTTTGTGTAAGGAAAATAAGTCTTCATACGCCTCAAAGCTGGGTACAGGTGTCTCATTCTTGAAAGTGGAAAATTCTCAAAATATTTTTCTATTTTACAGATATACAGTTAACCTAATGGTATTTCTAAATAATTTCTTGAATTGGTAAACCAGCCTTTAAAATTGTAATTACCACCAATTTTATTGATGTTCGCGTGTTGTAAAATTGTACGCTTGCGTTTTTCCCTTGAGTTATCACTGCTGGTTTTTGCGTATGCATGTTTAGTAATATCAAAGTATTACTTGTCGACCTCGATCGTCATCATCATCATCATCATTACAGCCCTTCACAAGTCCACTGCTGAACATAGGCCTCCCCCTCTTATATAATAACTAGATTACCTCGATCGTGTAATCTAGTTATTATATAAGAGGTATGTCTAATTTGTGCTAGTTTTAACGGGTTAACATACAAAGAAAGTGGTATTGTAAAGAAACGTCGTAACACATTTGAATTCAATGAAACATATTTCATATAGGCGTGGTTTTATGTCCATCACTGTTGTCTTATTACAAAAAGTGCTTTATAATAAGTCTCAGGTTTAACCTAGACTACCTATAGACCTACAATAAAGAAGTCTCGGGGAAAATATACGAATTAAAATGTAGACGTCTCAAGATACATCTTTTACATGGTAGAGCCACGCTGCAGTTATATTATGGCTGTAGCATGAATGGGTCGGCTCGACCGGGGAAGGGTCACGCTCTCAAAGAATACCAGCGTAAAATAGCAGCTCAACATTGTTGTATTTCGTATGATGAGTATAGAGAACCGGAGACCCTTATTACAGGAAACAAGGCATTCTATCTTAGTCCTTAAGGGTGACAACGCGTCTGGGTTTTGATTCGTAGATGTTCATGGGCTACAGAATTCACTTACTATCAACTGTGCGCTTGTTTGTCACCCTTATTCTATAAAAATATTAACGTATCGAATTTGACAACAAATGTTAAATTTCACGAAGTTTAGCGCCGCGCATATGAGACTTCTTTTGTGATAAATATTCTTCTTTAAACCCGAAACTATTAATAAACTATGTTTTGTAATAAAACCGTAGAGATATCCTTCATGTAATCTGTTGTACGTTCTGCTGCCTTTTACTTACCTGAGATTTGGCTTTATGCATTACAATATTTTGCTTTTTACTGTAAGAGTTTAACAAGTGAGTTTAAGTGATTATTACCTATTATTACTACTATATAGGTCGAAGAACCGGAAAGTAATAGGCAAGAAAGGATCTCGAGTGGTAGCGTCATACCGGTTAGCGAAGTGTGGGGCAGTCCTCCACTACATAGAGTGAAGATCTGGTAATACATGCAGGAATTATATGGATGCAGGTAGCTCAGAGCCATGATCTGTGCTGTCAGAACTCCTTGAGGCCTATTATTCAGCAGGAGACTTGTGAAGGGCTGTAATGATGAAAACTATTGTAATTATTAAGAGCGTATATTAAACTTTCGTAACAAGTGTAATAAAAATTCTTATTTGGTCTATTCTACAGCATAATCGACTTCATTAGAAGTAATTTCATAACAATCTATCTAGACGTCCAGGCGTGATTAAAGTACAAACATTCAAGCAATATACTTTCACATTTATAATATTATAATAAGTAAGTTAATACAATCTACTTATATTTGAACATATTACACTGTTTGTTATTTTTTAGTTTTGAGAAGGAAAGAAAACAATTTAAAATTAAAAATTTTGTACAGCCGACTTCAAAATAACTTATTAAGAATAACTCAAAACCTATTGGTTTGACCTTGATCAAATTCATATGGGACCACAGGAGAAGTACCAGCTTTCAAACAAACAAAACACACAAAACAAACACATAAAAAGAAACATACAGTCGAATTGAGTACCGTCTCCTTTTTGGACGTCGGCAAAAAAGTAGGGCACACTATTTTATAGGATAAGGGTGACAAACGAGCACACATTTCTCGCAAATAGTTCACAGCGCTTATTTAAAATAATAGGTCGAAAATATATATAATGTATAAAAAAAATATTAAGTAAAGAAGAAAATAAAAATTGGTTTTAGTTTAAAATTAAGCCCCTATTTAAAAAAAAGAGTAATTTCATTTCAACGCGCAGCTGCAGTGCGTTTGGCAACTTCACATGTACTCGATATATTTTTTGCCCAGACATGCAGGTTTTCTTTCACCGTCAAGTACGTTGTAAATCAATACATTAACTTGAAAAAATTTCATTAGTCCCGGTGAAAATAGTAGAAATGAATATATGTGAGCAGCTATATATTTTTATTAGGGCGAGTAGCCCTTTGCCTACCAAGGCTTATTAAAGAATAAACAATGTAATGTAAAGGCTGTATCAA